TACGACAAGGAGATCCTTTATCTCCTTTCCTTTTTTTGTTGATTGGAGAAGGATTGTGTGGTTTAGTCAAGAAAGCAGAGATGGAAGGGTTGTTGCATGGTATTGAGGTTGGGAAAAAAGGGTTGGCGGTTTCGTTGCTCCAATTCGCTGATGACACAGTTATTTTAGGAAGGGCAGATAGTCAAAATGTTTTTATGGTTAAATCTATTTTGCGATGGTTTGAATTGATGTTCGGATTGCGGATTAATTTTAGCAAAAGCAGTGTTAATGGATTAAATGTGTTAGAGACGTGGTTAAAAGGGGCAGCTACAGCTTTTAGTTGTGGAGTGGAGGAATTCCCGTTTATCTATTTGGGGATGCCCGTCGGTGGGAACCTAAGAAACAAAAAGTTGTGGAGTCCGGTTGTGAAAAAGTTCCATGCCAAACTTGCCATCTGGAAGTTTGCTGTCCTTTCCTTTGGGGGCCGCCTCATTCTGCTCAATTCGGTACTTTCTGCTTTACCTACTTTTTATATGTCTTTACTTTTAATGCCAAAAGCAGTGATTTCTAAGTTGATTTCTATTAAAGGAATTTTTTATGGGGTGGGCCTAAGTTAAAAAGGAAGATTGCTGGGTCAAGTGGGATCTTATTTGTTGTAGTAAGGAGAAAGGAGGTTTAGGGGTGCAGGATTTACGTAGGAGAAATTGGGCGCTATTAGGAAAGTGGTGGTTTCGATTTGGTGATGGTGTGGCGAATTTATGGAAACAGGTGGTGAGGGATAAATACTATGGGGGTAAGGAGGTGGTTGATATCACTGCAGTGGACACTTGGTAGCTGTCCAAGATTTGGGGAGAGGTTATTCATATAGGAGGGAATTCTTAGAGGCTATGGAATTTGCTAGTGAGAGGGTTTAAGTGGGAGGTGAGTGATGGTGGAAGGGTGGGTTTCTGGAGAGATAGTTGGGTGGGAGATAAACCTTTACGTGACTTATGTCCTAGATTATATGCATTGAGTATGAACCGAGAGGGTATGGTTAGTGAGATGGGGGATTGGGAAAGGGATAGCTAGTGTTGGAGTATTGCATGGAGAAGGGAGAGAATGGGCAGAGAGAGGGATGATGAGGAGTTGTTAATGAAGTTGCTAGGAAAGGTTCGAATAAAGATTGGTGGGGATGATTGTTGGAGATGGGTGCATTATTATGAAGGAAATTATGTAGTCAAGAAAGCTTATGAGTTCTTAGCTCCTTTGGAGTATGTTTTGTAGGGCCAGCTTTGTAGATTGGTTTGGTGCAATTTAGTGCCATCCAAGGTATCTTTTTTTGGGTGGCGATTATGTCTTGATAGACTTCCAACAAAATGAAACCTATATAAAAAAGTGGTAGATATGCAAGAAGGAAGTTTAATGTGTAGTTTTTGCAATGAGGCAGTGGAGGAAATAGATCATTTATTTTGTACATGTAAGGAAGTATGGTTAATATGGGCAAAGGTGCTACATTGGTGGGGGGTGGAATCTGTGTTACCAAATTCAGTGGAAGCCATAGCTGAATTTTTCTGGTCTAGTTTTGGTAGGTTGGTTGGGAAGGAGATGGGTGCTTGTATGTTTCTAATAGTTTCTTGGTATTTGTGGTATTAGAGAAATGCTATTGTGTTTCAAAATAATGGGAGCTTTAAGGAGAAATTGTTGGATATGGTTAAAATCAAGTCCTTTTCTTGGATTAAATCTAAGAATATTGGCTCCATGTTCTCCTTTTATGAATGGATGGATGACCCAGTTGCTTGTGCATTGGAGGTGAGGAGGCATAAAAAGGAACTAAAGATGTATTTGAAGCTGAAACAGGGACATATATGATCGGCAGTGGGGGCTTGATTGGTTTTGGCTGATGTGTTTCTATAATAAATGCTGTCAGTTTTGCTAGGTTTTTGTTATGATGGTTTAGTCTTTTATTATGTAAATGGGTTGGAGTACCCCTTGTACTCTTGTTAATAAATTATTTCAATTTGCTGATAAAAAAAATATAATATGTATTGCATTCTTAATATCTTGTTTCATCCTTGTTAAAATGCATGGATAATCTCTCGATCGGCTACAACATGGGAAACATGGGGTTAAAGTGGAAGAAACTGTTTCCACATTTTACAGGCATGTGAAATGCTAACAGGAAAGAAGCTCAGATTACGTTTTCTTTTCTTCTTCTTCTTTTCCTTTATTTTTTTAATCTTTGTGGAAGAAACCGAGTCAATTCATGGCTGTTTATTGGTGTCATTTTAATTAAGTCTACCTCCTTGTACCTATAATGTAGCGCCACCTAATTAACTTCAATTATCTACAAATAATGTAGTTAATTTATGTTTTTAACTATATTATTTTTAATAAAAAATAAAGATAATCAAAACATTAACCCACTTTATAAAAATTTTAGTGATAAGATGATAATTAAAATTAATTGATAATAATAAGATTGAAGTAGAAAAAATATACAGTATTTATATACCTTCAAAATAATAATAAATGACAGTTACTTGTTAGGGCAAATTTTGAGTTAAAAACATTAAGGGCTGCGATATAGGAATAATTTTTTTGTATTATTTTTTTATATAACTTTCATATGTTATTAAATAAATTAATATATTTAATATTATAGATCCTAAATGAATAAAAAATAATCAATTATTTAAATAGTATGTAAAATTATACAAAAATACAATACAAAAAGGTTGTCCCTAAATAATTTTTTAAAAAATAATTATTTTGAAACAAAAAGTAATAAATTAATGACTATTCTTTCTATTTTATAATAAC